TTTTGGGTTTTAGAGATCAGAGACGAGGCTCTGAGAGAATAGTTAAATGTCCAGTTTATGTTAACATATATTTAAAAGTGCACCCATATATATATACCAACCAGTTTAGAGCAGTATTGTGGGGGGAACTCCTGAGACCTTCTCGCAGGATGGAGAATATTGGCAATAACACGCAGAGAACAGGTGAGATTGCTAATCGTGACAATTCAGATTTGAGGGATGAGGGTCTGTGACAGGGGAGGTGATCTGGAATAATGAGAACATGAAGAGTAAGGAATGTCAATTTCTGGTTAGGTACGGGAGGGACAAAGGGAGGACACAGAGATGACCTCTGAGTTTAGATTCATGAGACTGTCAGAAATAGGGAAGTCCTAATTTGAGGGAAAAGGTTGTCTGGGTTTTAGTTCTGTTGAATTTGATGTGTTTGCCAGAAATTCAAATAAAGACACTCAGTGAGCAGTAAAGCTATAGGCTCTCCCTCTCCTAAGCTATGGATCCAGTGAAAAATTGAGTAAGTCTTTCTCAATGTTCATTGTTGTTTCTCTTGCAGAAGTGGGGTGAAGCTTGCCACTTTTCCTTTTTAATTAGCTCTTAACCTAGGGGTTTTCTTCAAATGACTACCCCAGGCAGGACACATCACCCAAAAGCCAAACAAGAAAAGCATGGATAAATTACACTCTTTAAAAAAAAATTCGGGCCCAGCCAGTATGGCTCAGTGGTTGAGCATCGACCCAGGAACCAAGAGGTCGCAGGTTGGATTCCTGGTCAGGGCACACGCCCCCTGGGGTTGCAGGCTCGATCCCCAGAAAGTGGGGAGGTGCAGGAGGCAGCCAATGGATGCTCCCCTCATCAATGTTTCAAGGGGAGGAGATACACAGGACATGAATACCAAGAGGCAGGGACCATTGAGGCTCATCTTAGAGCTGCCAACCACACAGTACTGCCTGGGAACAGCAAAAATAAATGCTCTCCGGGAAGACTTGTTTTCACTAGAGGCCAAGAGCAGTTGTAAGTCACTGCCCATTGCAGACGCCCTCTGATTTCAGAGCTATGAAAATGCATGATATGATAGACATAATACTCGACATAGTAATGGACTGGCAGAGGGGGTGTGAGTGAGAAGTGGAGACACCGGGGAGAGTTTTGAAGAAAAACATTAGTGCAGAATCTGGGTGAAGGGGGTGAGGGTGGAAAGAGCCCGCCAGGCAGAGTCCTGAAAGTCACAGCGCAGATGGGGTGGCTGCTGTGCTGGGTGCAGGCGCTGGAGCAACTCAAGATGAGGGGCTGGAGAGGCAGGCAGGCCAGACCTTGCTTAGGGGTGAGTGTGGGGAGTCATCGAAGAATAGTGTCTGCAATTTTTGAGTCACGCCTGTAAATGGAGAAAAGCACGCCCTCCTTTTATCTTCCGGTCTTCCTTTAGGTAAGAATATGGAAGTGGGTGTGAACATGTTGACGAAGCAGATGAGGGCAGCATCTCAGAAATGGTATATATAGTTTGGGAGCCCAACACATCAGGCTTCCATATTGGTCTTGAACCACTAGTGAGAGAGAAATAAATTTCTATGAGCTTATTATTAGTATTTTTAAAAATCCTCACCCAAGGACATGCTTAGAGAGAGGAAGGGAGAGAGAAGGAAACATTGATGTGAGGAACATCAGTTGCCTTCCATATGTGCCCAGACTGGGAATCAAACTGGCAACCTTTGGGTGCATAGGGCAATGATCAACCCACTGAGCCACTCTCGCCGGGCAGGCCAATTTAATTCCTGACCAATTACTACATAGAATGCCTTTTCCATTTACATTTTTTGTTTCCATTGGGATAGTTCTTTTTATATAAATAGTGCCCCAAAAATTTTTGTCCACGTAAAATTTTAGTGATTATAGCTTCTGCCTTTGTAGGTTTTCTGTTGTTTTATTTTCCCCCCCAGATTCTAATTATCCGTACCTACATCTTACTATGTCATGCTCTACCACTGATATTCTTTATGAGTTGGATAAAAGCGGCACAGCTAATGCACAAGAAAACCGTGCCACGGGCATTGCCATTGCAATTCTTTTCTATGTGATACGTGTGTTAGCTGTCCATGCCTTTGGTGAGGTAAAGTGTAAAAGATGAAATCAAAATGTCATTTTGCTTTGGGGCTAAAACATTTTGAAAGCAGTTTGTTTATATAACTGTTGTGTTTTGGAAACTGGAACGCGGTAGCTCCAGGTAAGTAAAGGAGAAAAAATGTTCTCCAAGTTTCTCTCACTGATGAGCACAGCCCCGGGCAAAGGGAAGGGCTCCACCCGGGTGTGGACAGTCAGGGCTCCCGCCCTCCCAGCTGTCATACCCGCTTTCCACACTGAATATCCACAGGCCCTTTAGCAGCA